TCAAATATATTAGTTACAATTATTATTATTACAAAAACTACCTTGAAAAAATTACGAAAGGCAATATAAATTGGGATCTTGTATTTATGATCAAAATAAAAATTAAATAAGATTTTTTATTAAGGATTTGAAATAGTATAGTAGGTCAGATTGGTTAATCAGGCACTTCAATTCATGGTCGTTAGAATAAAGGCAGGACTTAATTTGGGCATGCATAAGAAATCCACGCGCATCAACTTGTCAAGAACGAGGAGAGCAGTGATTTAATAACGCACCGGACACACATCCGCAATATGGGTGGTCCTAAGAGTAAGACCAATAATTCCAAAATGCCAGCAAGGACCGGTCAAGCGTATATGGTCGGTTCTTAATACTACTTTCAATTCTAATTATGAAATTTAATTGACTAATTTAATGAGATTAAGAAAAAAAATTAAATTGTTTATTTGTAATATATAAGCGTTGTCTTTTCTGAAATATCTTCGCTAATCAGGTGTATTGGATAGAATTATCATAGTTAAAAAGACTATTTTTAAAAAAAATACATAAATATGCGAGATAAAATATATTGAAATTTTATATCTATCACCAAAATAAAAGTCAAACAATATCTTATACTGAGGATCGAAAGTAGTATATATAAAAGCTGATTAACTGATTTGAATGAATAAGTAAATTTGTTAAATTAATTGTTTGTAATAAATATATATTATTTTTCTTAAAATACTCTTACTAATTATGTGTACCAATTAGAATTAACATTTGATAGAGTCTTTAATATATACAACTAGTATAAAGATTGTTTTAAAAAAATAAATAAATATAAAAAATAAAATAAATTATAATCTTATATTTAGAATTAAATTAAAAATTAAATAAATTCTTATGTTAAATGATTGGACCATGTGACTTGTCAGTCTTCTTTTGGCCATTTTCCTGTTATCCCATGCTCATCCTCTCTCCCTCTCTATATACAGATGCTCATATATAGACAAAATGGAATGTTAGGATATTCAATAATCCAGCAGAATTTAAGAAGATCTATACATGACAGAAATAATACCCTTCGATATTTTTTTTTTGGGTGGTGGCATGATATAGGAGGAGAGGTCTCATTGGTCAATAATGGAAGGCTGCCGCCATCGTCCACGTGCCTGCCCTGCCTCCTTGCATCCGTAAGACCTCCGTCTATAACTCACTCCATCTTTGTAAGCATATACACAGGACCACCAGCTAACAAAGTATTGGATGCTGTAGTATACTTCTTTATCCTATTATTCATGAGATAGAATGAAGATATTTTTTAGTCATGAGTGTTCTCTTTTAATTTTATCTATTAGTCATTTCTAATATCTGAGGAAAAATCTTAAATTTTATTAATTTTTATTTAAAATTTAACTTTCTAACTTTGTCTTTATTTAATATACATTATATCTCATATAAAGAAAGTCAATACAATAATAAATGAAAGGTAAAATTATATATTCATACAAAATTTTTTTCTAATATCCTATAAATAGGACCACAAAACGTCTTCTTTATCTGCTCTATAAATAAGACCAAAAGAGTATGTGTTATGGATGTTCTTAAGAGTTAGTTCAATTTGTTCATAAATATAAGACTCAAATTCACTTTATCTCTCATAGTTATTAATTTTTTTCAAAGTAGCTCCTGTAGTAACTACACATGTTAAATGTTTTATCAAATGATAGTTATATCTAACAAACACGTTTAGCAAAGATATTTTATGAAAGATAACACGTATTTATCACAAATAATTAACTTAATAAACTCTTTTAATTTACTCAAACTAGTTAACTAGTTTTTTTGTTATCGACCTGATGTACTACTACTTCCGATTCTTAATATAAGAACTTATTTAATTTTTATTCTCGTTCTAAATATAAGACTCCGATCCACTTTATTTTTCATATCTATTTATTTTTTCTCAAAGTAGTCATTCTAATAATAGTAGTTGTAGTCAATGCACTTAATTAGCAAGGATATTTTAGGAAATACAACACTTATTTATGGCAAGTAACTAATTTAACGTATTTTTTTAATTTATTCAAATTAGTTAACTAGTTTTTATATTTAGAATTAGAAACAGTGCTTGTTAATTGTCAATAATACGTCGTATCTACGTTCAAGGAGCAGTAATCCCTGAACCTGAACGCATAAGTCCATCGCCACCACGCGTTTTACATAATTAATAACTGTTCACTAGTCGTTAAAACGTTATTGACTTCCTTCTAAATATCGGCGTCAGCTTCCTAATTTAAACATTTAAAACTGCCCCCTCCCTCGCGCGGCTCACATTGTCGAAAAGCGGATATTAAACCCAAAAAAAAAAAAAAAAAAAGAAGAGGAAAAACGAGAAGGAAACGTGGGTGTTGTCGAACTGCAACGCGATGGGATCCTTCATCTATATTCATGTTTAGGAGGATTTAAGAAATATCTTATAAACACATTTTATATAAGTCAAGATAAAACTCCTTTTACATATTTGTCTCGTATTCCGCAAATTATTATTCCTCCAATCCCTAATATAAGACCCATTTAACTAATTTGATTAGATTAAGGAAGTTAGGTAAGTTAGTTAATTATAAAAAATATAACACGTTTTTCCTAAAACACCATAATCATCTTTCTTAATACCCATCTCTCTTTTCTACACTTGATTATGATTGAGGGAGTATTTATAGGGGTAATTTAGAGAAAATTGATAAATATGAGAAATGAGTTTTATATTTAAGACTAAAACCAACTCACCAATTGGGTCTTATATTAAGGACCGGAAGAGTATTAAAAAACTACTTATAAATTATTCTAAACGGAGCTTATATCTCCTCCCCAGCCTAGCTAGCCTTTGTATTTAATTTTTCTATTCACATGCTTCTGCAACTTTATCCACTTATTTATATTTTTGTTAAGATTATTAAATGTTCACATCCATTTTTATAGTGCGCCCTTGAATTATTGTAGTTGGCTTATGTGTCTCCTTTGATTTACTCAACAAGCTTATGGAAACTGATTGATTATAATCCACCAACGTATGTAGTTTGATTTCCCCCCCTTCATAATATATAGCTCCTGGTGGTAACTTCAATTTGTACCAGACGAAACCACAAAAAGGCCACAGGTCGTCGTGTAACTCGTTGTTTTGGGATGTCTTCAAGCTTTACGGCAATTGCTTAATATATAATCTAATTAAAGAGTTGATTTTAGTCCTATGTACAAGACCCAAGCCAAGTCACATGTTTATCAATTTTTTTCTGAATCAATTTTATTGATATTCTTTCAACAATAATCAAATAGAAAAAAAGTTAAGGAAGATATTTAGAGTGTTCTAGAAAAATCATATCATATTAACTAATCTAATTAATATCTTTAATTTATTTATATCGATAATTTTTTTTTGTGAGGCACACATCCAGTTGTTTAGTCTTCTCAAAACCTCACTCAAAGGATTTTTTTTTTTTTTGACCTTGCGTATGGGATTAATCCTTGATCCATTCTCGCGGATGACTGTTGACGTTCTTCACAAAAATAATCAATGGCATAATAGTAATAGTAGTAGTAGTAATAAGGGGAAACTGAAAAAAAAAAACCTTGGAATTGCAAAAACACAGATAGGGTCCCTTGACAATTTCATTTTGGGTTTTGACAAGTCAATGATCCCTATCTGCGTTTTTACAATTTTTCATAATAATAATAATACTGGTAATAATTAAAAACGTACGAGTCGCACTTTTACCGGTATATAAGCAATGGATGAAAAGGGAAACTAGCTTCAGCTTAAGCAGTGGCATATTTTTCTTTGTTATTATTTTCATTTTTTCTTAAATTATTTCAGTTATGACTGAACGCGCACGCAGCCGAAGATTAGGAGGAATTAATTTCGTCAACGTTTTCTTCCATACCTCTAATGCGCTCGGAAAAGGGGAAAAAACCTCCATAATGCACCGTATGCGAATGTATAAATACAAAAGGCAGTATTTTTTCCCAACAATATAAAGCATTTTCATAAAATCATGACTATACCGTGGCTTATCGCGGTCGTGGAGGTGGATGCGAATAAAAAGGAAAACGGAAGGAGTTTAAGTTAATTCACCGATAATCAGTCATGTCCCCGACGCAATGCAATGCTTCTCTTTTACTGTATGCACTAGTATGCGTTGGAAGGCATCTAAAGTTCTAAAACCATCACCTGCCACTGAAACTCAAATCACTTCTTATCATCATCCCCCACCACCACTGGCAATTCTTCCTCCCTCTGACCACTGCAAAAAAACAAGCGCCCCGCTCAGTGGAATGGGGCTTTGAAGAAAGTTACAGGGTGTCTGATGGTTCCTTCCCACCTTAGATTTACACCCACATTGCCTGAACCCAGATGACTCTTCATATAATTGCTCTGTTTGACAACTCGGTTGATTTGGGTAGTTGGGTTCCTTCCTTTCTATGCTCGTGAGGTTTATATTTGATTAGTTGCTATAACCATGAAGAAGCAATTTCAGAGATCTGGGATATTTCAGGGATGTCCTCGTAAATTTGGGCATTCATAGGTAAGACAGTGGCAGCGTCTGAATACAGTGTGTTTTTTAGATAGTGTCTTCTTAATCAGTCTTGTGCGGAGTTATTCCCGATCTCGGTGTGATGTGTCAGGCGGTTACTCTATTGTTTGCTCATTGCTTCACGATCTATAAACATGTTCGTTAAATAGTTTCTATGGAATATGCCATCTCGTGTTTGCGATTCTGGCCCTGCTGTATTTCTCGTGTGTTGTAATACGCTGTCTTTTGATGCTTGTCTTTGCTTGCCCACACTGTGTTTTAAGCGGCGATGGGGGTGAATGATTCCAGGTGTTGCTTTAGTAATTGTCAATGAAAAGTAATATGTTTGATAAACGTGAGCAGTCATATGATTAATTGGGGTACACGATTTTCAAAATAGTATTTTGCTTCATGCTTATCTCCGTGTGTTTGAATCTATACGCAGGCCACCGGGGCTCCTAACAAATGGGTGCTGATCTTAATGCTTGAACTAATCCAAGAAGACATCCCTTTTTGAGCTTAAAGTTTGGCAAATAATTGGAATTGCTGTTGGATTGTTTATAGTAGTTATCCTTGTGCTTCTGTTTGCCTTACTTCGCGAAAGAAATCAAGAAAAGCCAAGGATAGGATTCCCCTCAGTCAAATACCAACCGTCTCGAAGGATATTCAAGGAAGTGAGGGTTGAGCAAGTGCCAGCAAAGATTTGTTCCTCGTGATGGAGTTCTTCTCACAATACATGATAAATCTAGTGACAAAGAATCAGACAAAGTTATGCTCCATTTGGGTGTGGGGAAGATGAAGAATAGGGATAATAGTAGTTATTCTGATTCATTTCAATCACTTAGACAAAGACGCGGGTGGATCACAGTCAGGAGAGGAAGGGGATCTGGCACTGTTACAGTGTATAAGCACTCTTCTTCATACTCGAAACAGCTCCTTCCCCGCTGTCTGGTCTCCCAGAATTTCATCGCACTTAGGTTGGGGCCCCACTGGTTTACACTAAGGGATCTTGAAATTGCTACGAATCGGTTTTCCAAAGAGAATGTGATCGGTGAGGGTGGTTATGGAGTTGTATATCGGGGACAGCTGATAAATGGGAGTCCAGTGGCAGTCAAAAAGATACTCAATAACATGTGAGTTTCTAAAGCTTTAAATTTTCTCTCTACCATTAGAATTTGTTTCTAAGCACTGCAAAGGTTTGAGCTCATAAGTTTCTTTAGCAGTGGTCAAGCCGAGAAAGAATTTAGAGTGGAAGTTGAAGCTATTGGGCATGTACGACATAAGAATTTGGTCCGCCTTTTGGGGTACTGCATCGAGGGGACGCACAGGTACATTACATTTTAGTTACATTATAATCTCAAAAGATATCATCTCAAATAATGTCCGAAGCGAAGTAGAGTTAGATGATGGCAATATCTATATGACTTACCATGTTTGTTAACCTGTGACTTGATAGTGAGGACCATCTTACTTTCACTGAACAGTAGTTTGGATAATATGCGGTTATTTCTCAGGATGTTAGTCTATGAGTACGTCAATAATGGAAATTTGGAGCAATGGCTCCATGGAGCTATGCGTCATCATGGATATCTTACATGGGACGCGCGAATGAAGATTCTTCTTGGCACAGCCAAAGCGTGAGTCTCTGAATTTATGTTTCATTTAGGCACTGTGTTCTCATCTAATGTGATATGCATGTTTCAGTCTTGCATATTTGCATGAAGCCATTGAGCCAAAGGTGGTGCACCGAGATATCAATTCAAGCAACATATTAGTCGATGATGATTTTAATGCCAAGGTTTCTGATTTTGGCTTGGCCAAACTGCTGGGTGCTGGGAAGAGTCATGTCGCAACACGAGTTATGGGGACCTTTGGGTAGTGTATCAGTTTCCTTCCCTCTAGACCATCTTCATCCCAAGCTTAATGTTGTTAAACTTTTGGAAGCAATGTTTTTCCCCTTATATTTATTCCTTCTTTCTTGCTCCTAAAATTTCACAGATATGTGGCCCCTGAATATGCAAATACTGGCCTTCTAAATGAAAAGAGTGATGTTTATAGCTTTGGTGTTGTGCTCTTGGAAGCAATCACAGGAAGGGATCCAGTTGACCTTGGTCGACCAACTCATGAAGTGAGTAAACATGTTTTCTTCTCAGAAAAAAAGTACAGCTGGAATTATCTGTGTTTGTTTGACATGGGGGCACCTAGGCGTGAGTTAGATCTTTTAGTTAACAGTGATCTTGAGCAGTTTATGTCTTGTGTATCTTTGATGATTAAAGAAGCATGACCAAAGTAAAAGTGGACTCAAACACTGAGAAAATCTGAAGCGTTCAGATTCTATATGAATTATTGTGTGGTGTGTGCTTTTGATGCCATATTTGTTTGAGAGATGTCACTTTTTGCCAGTCAACTTGAAAGCAATATTAGCCTGAATTCCAGTTAGATTCGTTGTACCTGGTTTTACTGGTTATATGAAGTCAAAACTGGTTCTGTTTTTTGTTTTGCTAATTTGGTGGTTGACTTTTGTACAAAATGATCACAAATTATTTACACCAGCACTAAAAGCAAAGCAAGTTGTTGGGTGATTATGTTTAAAGAATCATGACTAGTTCAAATATTAAAAGCGGTGATTTTTGCTTCACAGGCTACCCCATCCATTCAACAATGCTATAACACTGTCTTAGTAAACTTTGACTTGGCTGATCAGTTGCAATTTTTGATCACGAGTTTTGACTGCCATTTACTCTAAAATGCTTTCAGGTTAATCTGGTTGACTGGCTGAAAATGATGGTTGGAAGCAGGCGATCAGAAGAAGTAGTTGACCCAAATATCGAGGTGAGGCCCTCCACCAGAGCTTTAAAACGGGCCCTTTTGACTGCTTTGAGATGTGTAGATCCTGATTCTGAGAAGAGACCGAAGATGGGCCAAGTTGTGCGGATGCTGGAATCCCATGAGTACCCCTTAGCTAGAGAGGTTCACTTTTACATTATGTGCTATGTTTCTTGGCGTTCCTTATTTTCTTGGTCCTTCTGACCATGGTTTGCTCTTATGTGGCCCGCGTCAGGTTATAAGTATATGATCAAATCACAACTGTATGGATAAATATCTGATTCATTGCTTTAGGGATGAATAGTTTTAACGAATGCTTGTGATCGACTTTTGATGTCATCCATTAATGGGAATGCTCAGGACCGAAGGCACCGGAGAAATCAAGGGGATAGCACGGAAATTGAATCCCAAAAGGAATATTCAGACACAGATAGATCAGAGAGCAGAGGATAACCGCAAAGCAGACCTAAGGCGAACGGCGATTCTTTCTTAGGATCAGTTGAATGTATAAAGTGAGAGGGTAAATTCTTTCAAGTTCTTTACGTTTCTTTTCTGACTCTTTTAGATTATTGGTTTGGATTTAGCATGCAAGTAAGCTTATATGGTTTGACAAGCATTGCAGGATAATCCCCCCTCATCTCTTTCTTAGTTTGGTCCTCCTTTCAATTTGTTTACTGTAGAAGGTTGGTTGGAATATTGCTTGTATGAAGGAGGATTCTAATGTAAAGAACCCAGAGCGTCGTGTATGTACATAATCTAATAACTTTTCAGGATCCGCTTGAAAGAAATGTTCGGTTTACCTTCTTGTGGAAAATTAAACGGAAAAAAAAAAGTCACTTAGAAGTTAGAACAGTAACCTCAAGGTTTTTGAGCTTTGTAGAGAAGCGGATCGTTAGAGGCTTGCAACCTGCAGCATTATTGGTCCCCTCTCTGGACCAGATTTGCAGTACTAGGTGGTAAACATCACAGTTAAACGATTTTTTTTTTTTTAAGGAGATAGAAATGCCAAGGCTTGGTGCCTTGGTTGGCCAAAATTTTGATATGACGCAACACTGAAAATCACTGACTTATCCTAGTAGCTTGAAAATCATTCATTCGTGTCACCAAAAGAAAGAAAGAAAGAAACATTCATTCATTTCTTTTCTGTCGTAATAAAAGCAAAACATTAGATTTTAAGGGGAGGGGGTGGATGAAATGGAATTTTTTTTTGGGTTGACGACGATTCAGGAAATTTATTGATGGGATCAAATGAAACTAAATATTGTTTTAAATGAAGTAATGACAGATCTCCAGAAAGGCGAGTTTTGAATGCACCTATATATACAATAAAACAGAAATGTTTTCAGATACCGGGTTCCCCGGGATTGGTTTTGGTTGATGAAAGCCACCTTCAATCGTAACATAATTTGATTGATTCTCATATTATGATAAGCTATGGCTGAAGGACAAGTTTATAATTAGTCCCAAGGCTTGTCCCGTTTCAGAGGCTTCAAAAACCTGCCATTCTTCCCCTCTTAAGAGGCTTCCCCATCCCATGAGATAAGGCATAAGTATCCACAAACACAGACAATGCACCTTCCAGCAAGCCCATTGGCCACAATGCTCTTGGCAGCCTGCCTGGCCGTGTAAGCGCCACTTCTATCCATCTCGGTAGGGTCTTTCCATCCTCCATAAGTATCAGCTATGATTTTCCGCCCAAAAAGAGTTAGCAGTTGTCAGCATCAAGGCCTGAGTCGTTGGAGATGGAGCCCAGTGGATCGGCATGCGTCGCGGACAAGCTAGTCTTGGATGGAGACCTTAACGGAGCAATAGAATTTAAGGCATTTTTAGCATTTTGCTCTTTTTGAATAGATTAGGGCTCAGCATTCGAAGACTATCTTCTTGCGGCCCCACTCCTCTCTACTCTCCAATCTCGAATCCAGAGCACAGCATCGACATTTGAAAGTGCAACTCCGTTAAGAGGTCATCAGGGAAAGAAATAGGAGTAGAACGTAAAAATAAAAAAATTTTGGCCATCCGGAAAAGAAATAGGACAATAACGTAAAAATAAAAGCATTAAAAATGCGGTGAGCGTGGATCGAACACGCGACCTTCAGATCTTCAGTCTGACGCTCTCCCAACTGAGCTATCCCCGCAATTTTGATGAGGTGAGGTTTTATTTGTTGATGGAGTGTAAGTATATAGCCACGGATTATTATGAAAAAAGTATGTTATACCATCGCCAGAAGAATGAGCTACTATTACATGTAACATGTGTATCAGACCACGTGTCAATTACACTTCATTAGGTGTTAGTTTTCTGATTGGAAGGATATGTTATTAACGACTCCAGGTGGTCCTATAACGACAATGCCTGCTTTTAGTTTTAAGGCAGGAGTTGTGGTCATTAGAGCCCTTCAGCGGTGTGTCCGTTAAGTTTTCTCTGATATTTTAATACTTTTTCGGTTTTAAATATAAGACCTATTTTATAATGTAATTTATAAGACTTATTTTATAGTGTAAATTACATTACAAAATAGGCCTTATATTTAAAATTGGAGGAGTGCTATCTAATTGTCTCGTACTAACTATCCTCTCAATTAACTAATTTTAATATATTAATAATACTAGTTAAATTAATTAATATGAAATGTTAAAACATTATAAGCATCTTTTTTAATTATTTCATTCCCTCTCCTACTTGACTAATATTGAGAGAATGTCAGTGTGATTAACTCAAAAACAAATGATAAACATATAAAATAAATTTTACATGCAGGACAATATATTAACTCTGTAATTAGGTTACGTTAAGAACCAAAAACATAAATCGTATCTTCGTATGTTTTCGAGTGTAGTTGTTAATTCACACAGGAATAACTTTTTTAATTCTGGTCAAAGGCAAGGCAAATGTCATTTTCAGTGGAATTTAAGAACTTTTGACGCGGTTTGTTTATTGGGTTGTTTGAACTGTGATTTAAGGGATGTGTTGTTTGATTGAGTTCCTAAGCCTCAATTCTCATTGGCTTCTTTCCTAAACGAGGACCTTGTTTTTCTGTAAGTGATGCTCTGAGATATTCTTTCGCACCCGTTTTAGCTCTAGTTAGTGTGCTCGATTGGCTTAGCTCATGCTATTCAATATATATAACTTCTGGCAGAAAAAAAATTAGTTGTTCGGGAGTGTGAATAAATAAGTGAATTTAAATTTAAATATCAATAATAAAATTTTGTTTCAAGTTAATAGTAAGATTGAATGCCATTGTCATTTTTTTGGTGAAAAAAATGCCACGGTCAGATTTAGCATCACTATTACCATGTGAAATTCCAATTTCTTCTGTGCTCGTTCTCCTTTCCAATCGTGCTTTTTATGGCGTGTAGTAAGTGCTTCAAACTAGTGTTGATCTCATATAAAATGCAAAAGACGGACAATGCGCTGGTCCCGTAGCTCAGTTGGTTAGAGCGTTGGTCTTATGAGCCGAAGGTCGCGGGTTCGAGCCCCGCCGGGACCAGTTCCGTTGTGTTACAATCGATTTTAATTTTTGTTGGGCTGTTTCTTTTGTTGACTGTTGGGCCTTCTTTTGAATGCTTCAAAAATTCTTTGTTGGGCCTCAGTATATATGACTAGTTTATTTTTCTGACTATCAATTGTTCTGACTAAGTCCAAAAAACAAGAAGACAGAAAATAACACTTGAATATTAACATTCCCATTTGATTACTTAAATAATGGAAAATTCTCTTTAAGCACGTATGACTAAATTAAGATTTTGAAGTTTGTTGAAAAGATCAAATTTTCTTTTTTTTTAAACCATCAAGCCCCCTCACTGGTCGGTTGGTTGTTGGAACTCTGATGCCATGTTAATGAAGTTATACAAATGATAATTTTTAAATTTCCTAAAAAATCTGATATTAACTTTTATATTGAACTTGTTAATAATTTTAAAGAACTTATTAACCACATTACAAGATTTGAAAATTTTCCTATTTATGATGTCATGGCTGACCTTTTAAAATGTAAAAAAACTCTTAAATCACATCGTTAATAGCATTTTGGGAGTTCTTAATATAATTATATAATTTGTTAACAGCATTATTAAAGCTGTAAAAATATCACTTTTTGAATTTATTAAAAAATTTGTTCTTAATTGCTATAGCAAATTTGTAAATAGTTTTAAAGAATTTGTTAATTGCATTACTAAACTTTAAAAATCTTCAAAAAAAAAAAAGTTATCAGCCACCAGCACCAAAGCCTTTGTGACTAGTCGGTGAGAGTGTTTGATGGTTAAAAAAACTTAGAGGGTAATTTATTCTTTTTAACAAAGTTTAAAATCCTAATTTAGTCATGCGCTCAAAGAGAAATTTCTATTATTTAAGTGACCAAATTGAGATTTTAATATTCAAGTGTTATTTTTCTATCTTCCTCCAAAATCTAGCAATGACAATTTATTCACGATGAAAAAGATAATCAATAAACTTTACATCAGGAAAAATCTCAAAATTTTAAACGCGAATTTTACAAATCTTATATCTGTTTGGCTGTTCGTTTTTATCTTTTCACTTATATAAATTTGACTATATTTCTTTGCTTACATGACAATGTGATATAAATTTGCGTTTAGTTGATTAAAAAAATCCCCTCTGAAGGAAGACCCCTTTTCCTGTCAACTTCTCAAGAGCCATTGTTCTAGCTTCTAAGCATGCAACAAGTTCATCGTAGTTCATATCCGTGCGAGAGAGGGTGAGGCTGTATCTTCGGGGCAAGTGATGATGGTTATGCCAAACCAGCGGAGCTTGCAAGAGAATGGCGAAACGTTAGAAGCCAGTGAAATTTTCGATTAGAGCAATATTGGCACGCTGCACGCCATTGGGATTTGAGCATTAGGATCAGATTCAACATTCTTTCAATCGCAATTTGATTGGATCACGTTGGAATTTTGTCATGCCTATATTTTTTTAAAGAGAATTAGAATCAAATCTCACGTAAAAGAAATAATTACTAAAAATTTTAATAATAATCTTAATAATTCATAATAACAAGCCATACAGTGAGAAAAACAATTTCTGAACTTGTTTTTTAATTGTTTTTTTTAGGATCTCGTTATAATTCTCTCCATTTTTTTAAAAAGTGTTTTCTGGCAAAAAAATAAAGGGGGGGATCGTATCATCACAGTTAAATTATCCTTCTTTAAGGCCCAGGGCTCCTTATTGAAATTTGACTTTTCAAAATATTTATTCCATAACGAACTGAATATATATGTTGTCGGCTAGACAACTAAATATACATCTGACTTCCACGAGTGTGTCAACTATAACCGTCCAAAATTTACAGCAAATTATGAAATATTTCTTATTTTTAATATAAAAATTAGTTTGACATTTAATATCATTCTAAATATAAAATTCTAATTCATTTTGTCTCTGATGTTTATTTATTTGCTTTAGGATAATCTTTACAGTAGTTACATATATTAAAAGTTTTATCAAATGATAATTCTCGCTAATATACGTGATTAGTAATGATATTTTATAAAAGACAATAGTACTTAATTATTATAAATAATTAATTTAACCAAAAATTTTAATTTATTTAAATTAATTAACTAATTTTAATATTAAAGATCGATAAAAATTTATACTGCTAATCCCTCATTGTCTCTTAGGATATGTTTGGCTCAATGAGAGGAAGGGAAGGGGAGGGATTTTAATAGAGGGAAGGGGAGGGGAGGGGAGTGGAAGGATTTTAATATCACCTTGTTTGGATTTATAAAAAAAGAGGGGAGGGGAGGGAAAAATATTTAATATGGACAATTTTGCTCTTATTTTATTTAAGGCGTGGGCATAATAGTCACAACATGACAAAATATAAACATAATGGTCACAACATGACAAAATATGAACATAATGGTCATAATATGACAAAATATTGCATTTTCCTTCTAAATCCTCCCAATTTTGGAGGGGAGGTTGAGGAGGGGAGGGGAGGGGAATTTTAAAAAATTTTCCCTCCCCTCCTAAAATTTGTGTGTTGCCAAACAAGGAAAAATGATTAAAATCCCTCCCCTCCCCTCCCCTCCCCTCCCCTCCCTTCCAAATCCCTCATACCAAACACACCCTTAGAAAAAAACGTTACTCATAGTTATCAGGAGTGAGGACAAGGGATCAGATGGTCAAATTCATTATACTCCGAAAACGAACCTTGCTGAATTATTTTTTCAAAGGAAAAAAGAAAAAAATTAAAGCTCGAGAGAGTACGGGGAAGGGGAACTCGGGCTGCGGCCGAAGAGAAAGGTCACAATTGGATCGATCAGCACATCCAGTCGCAGTCGCACTTGCACTCAAGGATTCAGCCTTGGCGTGTCCGTTTCGCATCTCCGATCCTGACCGTTCTGCACCCATCGGAACTCGGTCCGTACCCTTTCTCTATCTGACTACTTTAATTTTCTCGATTGAACACTCTCCTCCCTTTTTTCTCGATCTTACCTCTGCAACCAAACTCAATGATATTTTCTCAAATCCAATTCATATGCCATGTTTCTGCTCTGATTTTAGTTTTTGAGGAACCTGGAACCTGAACGGGTGCGAATATCGCCCCTCTCCCGACTTTTCCCCCCCTGATCTATGTTCATTTGATTGCACACAATTCTCGTTATTTTGATTCACTTGTTTAAGATGAAATTTGATGCATTGACCAGAAGTCATGCAGAGCATCCGACACTAGTTGGCAATGTTAAGGTGAACCACCGCTTGCCCCTATATGGTTTTGCTGTCATTTGATTCGTTCCCATCGTGCAAATCTTACTTTAAAGCGTGCGTTAACTTTTAAGGATTTTCCGCCTCTTCTCTATCTAAAGAATTGCATATATCTTCTGGCAGTTTTGGTGATGGAACGAAGGCTATAAGTAAAAGCTAAGTGTAACAAGCAAGGCAAGTGATTGTTCTGTAATCCATGGGGACTCAAAATCCTGGACGTTCGAGTTTTCCTGCTAGGCCTGCCACAGCACCTTTTGCTCCTCCACAGACTATGACGCCGTTTTCATCAACTGGTCCTGTGGTTGGATCTGAGCCTCCTTTTCCCCGGCCTACTCCTCCTGCTGCTCCCCAACCTTCAGTGCCATTATCATCATCCAGACCTACAGCCACACCAGGGGCATCCAATTTTAGACCTATCCCTCCAGGCAGGTTTAATGATCCATCTGTGCCTTCGCCTCCAGCGTACAATGTCCCACCCGCTGGTGGACCTTTCCAGCGTTTTCCAACTCCACAGTTTACCTCAACAGCCCCAGCTCCTCCACCTGTTCCACCCATAGGACAACCATCAGTCCCGCCTTCTGTGAATCAACCACCAACATTTCCGGCATCCCTTCAACCCCAGATACCAATTGTTCCAATGGGTTCTCCCCCACAAAGTGCTACTCCTGCACCTTTGATGTCTAACGTTCCTCCTTTGTCGGATTCATCACTTCCAGGGTCTAGGCCTAATTTTCAGCCATCTTTTCCTGGATATGTCCGCAAGCAGACTGGTACTGAAATGCAAGGTCCACCCATGGCGGTGCATCCATCTTTTCCCACTAATCAAGGTAATTATGCGCCTGCTCCACCCAGCCTCTCTCATCAAGGGAGCTATGTTCCTCCGCCTCCAGTGGCTGCTCCATTAGGCATGCAGCAGATGCAGCAGCCGGGATATGGACCCTCTGTTGGCGCCATTCAGGGACTGGCAGAAGACTTCAGTTCACTCGCTATTCGAACTCGTCCTGGATCAATGGATCAAGTAGTGGATGCTAAAGTACTGCCAAGGCCGCTGGATGGTGATGTGGAGCCAACATCTCTGGCTGACGTTTTCCCCATGAACTGCAGCCCCAGATATCTACGGCTGACAACCAGTGCAATTCCCAGCTCCCAGTCCTTAGCTTCAAGATGGCATTTGCCTCTCGGAGCAGTTGTTTGTCCACTTGCAGAAGCTCCTGATGGGGTACGTGTTTCTTTACTCAATTTAATTAGCGGTGTGTTTCTGTCTTCTATGTCCTCCCCCGCACCTTTTCTCATTTTTTATACTTTGTTCTCAGGAAGAGGTGCCTATAATCAATTTTGCCCCAACTAGCGTCATACGCTGTAGGAGATGTCGCACTTATGTGAATCCATATGTTACATTCACAGATGCTGGGAGAAAATTTCGGTGCAATGTTTGCACTTTGTTAAACGATGGTAATTACAACTTACACAGCCTCTGCTGCAGTGCTGCTACTTTAAAATTAAGTCAATGGAAATGACATAATTTCTTAGAAAATGTTTTGAAATATGCGAAGAAGCTGAAGATGGCCAGCGTTTTTTCTTCTAGGTGCTGATTATTTATTAACTTTTATATAGTTTTTTTTATTGCCCCACTTAATGGTTTAAGGATTGTTGCTGTGGCTGCTGTATTGTTTAACATATTGGGTTCCCCTAAAAGGACGTGTAATGGTGCCACAGTTTTAGGGAGGCAAATGTTGCTTTCAGGCTGCTGACTTTGTACATTTGTGTCAATCATGCTTTATGCTTATTCTAAGCATATATAATGAGCATTAATTATTAACATTTAATTGCCTAGTGTATTATGATTGTTTGAATTAATTTCTTACAGTGCTAATCTAGTGACTCGTATGTCCAGTGCCTAGTGAATATTTTGCTCAATTAGATGCCACTGGTAGAAGAGTTGATTTGGATCAAAGACCTGAGCTTACAAAGGGTACTGTGGAATTTGTTGCACCTGCTGAATATATGGTGCGACCTCCTATGCCCCCAGTGTATTTCTTCCTCATTGATGTTTCCATATCTGCGGTTAGAAGTGGAATGATTGAGGTAAGCATTTGAATTTTTTTCTTTCTTTCTTTTTTAAATCAGTTCTAGGTCTTGGCAGATTTTGTTGCCATCCATCCATTCATTTTAAATTTTATAGCTTCTACGCGACTACTAAAGCTTGGAGACAGGTTTTTTGTTTATACCGCATTATTAGCATGGCCTTAGCCAATACTGCTATCAGCTTTTGGTTCGTATCAGGTTTGTGTGAATTTGTTAGTTTGACAGTTTGCTGGATGCATGCATTAAGAATTATTGTTACCAACCCCTCTAAAGAAGTCAAAGTACAGCTATAATGTATTCTTTTTTTGATTTTGTATGGAAAAATTTAAGCCCACTGTCAAAAAAGGCAAAAAATAAAAATAAAAAGAAAAAGAAAAACAGAAAGAAAAACTGATGAAACTTTTTATTTTTGCCAACTTTAAACAGAGTTCGTTTTAGATAGTTCTAAGGTTTTGTGCCTACGCATGTTTGTCCTTGAATATAATGCTTTGAATATATATTGATTATCCTAATGCAGGTTGTGGCCCAAACAATCAAGTCATGTCTAGATGAGTTGCCTGGCTCTCCACGAACCCAAATAGGTTTTGCGACATTTGACAGCACAATTCATTTTTATAATATGAAGGTTTGCGATATTATAAATGCTTTTAATATGTATATATTTTTTATCTTCCAGTGTAAACATGTGCTGACTATAGCTTGTTATGCTTGTCCAGTCGTCCTTGACTCAGCCACAGATGTTGGTAGTCTCAGATTTGGACGACATATTTGTTCCACTTCCAGATGATCTCCTTGTTAATTTATCTGAATCGAGAAGTGTGGTGGAGACCTTCCTTGACAGTTTGCCATCCATGTTCCAGAACAATGTAAATGTTGAATCAGCCTTTGGTCCGGCTCTTAAGGCTGCGTTCATGGTTATGGTATGGTGCTTCCCTTTTCACCTACTCGAAGGCTGTTTTATATGCTTTTATCTTTCACTACTTAAATTTTGGGTGCTATAGTATAAAATACCGTGATTTTTAAGATTAGCATGTATGGTAGAACTACATAAAGTTAGTAAAGATTTTGCACGGTTGGTATTTTATGTAAAAGTCAGTAGCATTGCCAATGGGAGTCAGTCTAGCTGGTAAGAAGGGACGACACCTCTATCAACTTGGTTACAAATTCCCCGGGGAGCACTTTAGGATTAAAATTCTGAATGTGCTAGGGCTACGTGAGGGAATGCGCTTTTAAGATCGTATGAAAGATTTAGTTGGGGCTTTGCCAAATGACACCCTTGAACATAGTTTTGAAAAATAACGTTCTTAGTAGCACTAAAAACTTAGGGACGTCAAATCCCATGGTTTTTCTGCTTTTGTAGAACATAACCAAAATGGTGGGCATCCTATGCTGTAAGGCATTTTGGATGCCGCTAAGTTCTTCATTTTATTGACAAGAAGGTATACATGATTTAAAAGATTAATTTCCAAGACTAGGGATGGAAGGACTAATTTAGTGTTTGCAAGTGAGGTCTTCAACAAGAATTGAAAGTATTTATTAAGCCATAGTTAGGAATTTTGTGAGTAATATTCGAAGAGGTTCTTTGGTCAAAATAATTTCAAATCCATGTGAAAAAGCTGGGCAAGTTGACCTTGATATTCCATGGGCGTCCAACTAATGATGCAGAGAGATGGGTATCATTTGCATACAGGCATGATTTGCATCTTGAGTACGAAGATGTCATGTACCAACCTTTTATCTAGAGTTTTAACTGGTCTTCTATTTAATTCCTTGTGTCCTGTTAAATTGATTGAGTTGGAAGCAGTTGGGTTGACGATATCTCCGTCTCCTTACTAGCCAGACTTAATTAATTTTTTTATGCCATTCACTTGCTTCTCTTTCTTCAGAGCCAACTTGGAGGGAAATTGTTAATTTTCCAAAATACACTGCCATCTCTTGGCATTGGACGCTTAAAATTGCGTGGGGATGATGCTCGTGCTTATGGGACTGATAAAGAACACATGTTAAGGTTGCCAGAAGATCCATTTTACAAGCAAATGGCTGCAGAATTTTCTAAATACCAGATCTGTGCTAATGTGTATGCATTTAGTGACAAGTATACTGACATTGCATCCTTAGGTAAATTTTTATCATTTTCACCTTGCTCAACCGCACCCACTATATTGTTAAAAGACAAAGCCAATGTTTTATGCAATGTTTGGGGATTAGGATATTTTCTGGTGATATGTTGGGGCAGTATTTTTTATTGCTATTGCTGTCGTTTTATGAAACTTCAACCTGATATGATTATCAAGTTTTATTCTCAATCTCATTCATTTTAGAAGGCATTTTGTGTAAATTGCAAATAACGTCTACATGATCTAGACCTCATTAATGATTGTTGAATAAACTTGTTTTCTCGATGAATTCCATATTTACCTGCTATGGTGCATGCAATTATTAATGTGGTCAAAGTCAACTGATCACGTCTCTCACTTATGAGTATCCATGAAGTAGTCAATCTATAATGTGCATTATATAAGCTTATGTGATAATACTTAATGGCTCTTAAAAGTGCATGTTTTGTTACTTTAAACTCGATTACCTCTGCAGAAGTGATCTTTAGAAGCATATATGCTAGATTTCTTGCATGAGTGGAGTTATTGTTCACTAATTGAGATGTCTATCATTTTCTGTCTGTCTAGGAACTTTGGCAAAGTATACCGCTGGTCAAGTATATTACTATCCGGCTTTCCAATCAACTATTCATGGGGAGAAATTGAGGCATGAGTTAAGGAGAGACCTGACCAGAGAAACTGCCTGGGAAGCTGTACTGCGCATTAGGTGTGGAAAAGGTCTGTCCATTTGTTGTTTCATGAGTTTGCTTTTCCTATGGTTCATTCAACCTGTATCTGCATATATAACATGCAAAGGCTGACAATTCTGTTTGTGCTTTAAGGTGTTCGCTTCACAACTTTTCATGGGAACTTCATGCTAAGATCTACCGATTTGCTAGCACTTCCAGCTGTAGATTGTGATAAAGCTTTTGCCATGCAGTTATCTCTTGAAGAGACATTGTTGACAACTCAGACTATGTATTTCCAAGTTGCATTGCTGTATCCTTTTTTTTCCCATTGCTGGAGCTGAGTTCTGATGCTGTGAATAGGTTTTTTCTTGGATTAATGTTGACTTCTCTGTATAATGACATTGCTTGAAAAGTTTAGGCTCGTCCTATCAAAATATAGCCATCCATATATCTGGACTCTCTTCTGGCCTTCATGTTATGTAGGATATTCATTGCATCTTATCATGGCCCTTTTATGACTGTTTGTCTTTCATTGTCTATTGTTTGCCTTATGTGTACGTTGTGCTTGCCATTCATTCGTTGAGGTGAGGCTGTACATCTGAAATGCGATTGGAAAACTAGTTGCAACCTTAACAAAAATATAGATATACTGCATCTTGTGGGGAAAGACGAATCAGAATACACACTGCTGCAGCTCCAGTAGTTACAGAATTGGGAGAGATGTATCGCCTGGCTGATACTGGTGCCATAGTTTCTCTACTTAGTAGGCTAGGTAGGGTTGAGAGGACTGCCATTATAGAAATATCATATGTCATTATGGATGGATCTTAGTTGCTACAATCTTTAACAATTCCCTTATATATTTGCAGTAATTGAGAAAACACTGTCTAGTAAGCTTGAAGATGCAAGGAGTGCTGTACAGCTAAGAATTGTCAAGGCCCTCAGAGAATATCGAAATCTATATGCTGTGCAACATCGCTTGGCTAACAGGATGATATATCCTGAGTCTCTGAAATTTCTACCCTTGTATGGCTTAGCACTTTGTAAATCAACACCTCTCCGTGGAGGGCATACTGATGCTCCATTGGATGAACGGTGTGCGGTAGGATACACAATGATGGCTCTACCGATAAAGAGGCTGTTGAAACTTCTATATCCAAGCTTGACTCGACTTGATGAATATCTATTGAAGGTACTTTCGGCGATGTTGTAAACTTGGGAGTACAATAAAACTCTTGAATCATCTTTGCTCATGTTTTCATGCATCTGTGCAGTCTGATGAATTAAAAAACATTGAGAAAAGGTTACCATTGACTGGTGAGAGCTTGGATTCTAGAGGCCTGTATGTGTATGATGATGGCTTCCGGTTCATTATATGGTTTGGTAAAGTGCTTTTACCTGATATAGCTATGAATTTGCTTGGGGCAGACTTCGCTGCAGAATTGTCAAAGGTATTTTATATTCTTGCTGGCAAAATAGGTTTATAATAGGGTTGTTTTGTGAGAGAGAGAGAGAGAGAGGGGAATTATTATTTGTCAACAAATGTATTGGAAGCTTTTATCCGTTGTGTTTCATGCTTTATTTTTTTAAATCTCCTTGTTCAAAATTTTCCTAGGGTGCCTTTTTGAATGGTATAATTACAGCTTGTTATATGTTCGTATCTCTCTGTACTCACACCTTTACAGTGTTAGATTTGTTGATGGCTCAGTCCTTTGTTCAAAATGTATTATACTAGAACAAAATTTGTTGTCCGTTGGGTGCTGTATAGTTTTTTTGTTTCTGGAACAGGTTTCTCTTAAGGAACATGGTAATGAGATGTCAAGGAAGCTAATCAGGATACTTGAGAAACTGAGAAATACAGATAATTCTTATTATCAGTTGTGCTATCTTGTAAGGCAAGGTGAACAGCCCAGAGAAGGATTCCTTATCCTTGCAAATCTTGTTGAGGACCAGATGGGTGGTAACAGTGGGTATGCTGATTGGATGCTTCAGCTATCCCAGCAGGTGCAGCAATAATAATTTGCAGGTACTGACTTTAGTCCCTTATCAAGAATGATTAGCTAATCCTGGTAGAACCTCGGCAATTTACGGCTGCCATCCTGTGAATATCTTATGTCATGAAACATTTTGTTAGGTTTAAGGAATCTGATATGTAGAGGAAATAGAAAAAAATTTCTCCTAAAACATGAACCAGAATTGCAACTTGTGCTCTAATAAAGCCGAAGGAGAATCTCCATGTTCTGAATAGTACCTCTCACATCATATAATCAATACAGACAAAACTATATTACAAAGGCATAACTGATTTGGAAATAACTGAACGTTACTAGTAATTAAAAGACAGCACATCCTGCATAAGAGACTGACAACATATCACATAAAAGAAGCTAACATTCTAAAGAGTTGGTGGCCAATCATTGGAGGAACAACTCCCTCTTTAACACAACATCTTCCCTGTTCTCTCCTGTTTTAGATGTCTTGCTATAGATAAGAATAGGTGTGGGTGGTGAGAAGGAATTCTATCACATTTTAGCAGGTAGACTAGGTATTGTGCATATGTTCAGTGTTCTAGAAGTCAAGTGTCTGTTCTTTTATGCTTTTGCAGGCGAGAGAAGCAGGGACGATTGTTTGGAAATTGTTACTATTATTGCATCCCTCTAGTCCCTATCAGTGTAGTACTTGTTAGGTCGATGATGGTATTCTGTTCTGGTAAAGTAAAAGATTTTCATTCCAAAATGACCACTTAGTTCAACTGTGATTCTGATCCCACTTACATCATGCTCGTTTTGAGAGCATTCTTATGATCGTTCCTGAATTGCCGCAATTAGTGGATGGCAGAGTTTGATTTGTGTGGAGTGGCTCTTAGATACACATTTCTTTTACGATGTCACTCGACATGAATGTGAAAATTGTGCCCATGTGGGTGAAATACGTTTGAACGTTAGCAGGAAATTTTTTTTCTTGAACTTGCATTTGGATTCTTCAACGAAAAAGAAACAAGCTCAATCTTTAAATGATCTAGTCCATAACGATCTCATGAAAATTGGTTGATTTGTATTCCCAGTTTACAGGTTTTCAGAGTTTATGAAATCACCAAATAATCTGTTAATACGTGTACCATGCAAACTAAAACCCTTATTGAATGTTCCCTGACTTCCAGAGCAGGGTCTTTTCGTCAGGGTGCTGTCTGTCTTATCAGTGAAGTCGCAGCCATTTTTTTCCTTCCGTAGGGACACGGTTGAATCTGGCATTGAGATCACATCGATTTAGTGTGGAGAGAAGCGTCTCAGAGAACCTTTTTTTTTGTGTGACAATCACTATTTATTCAGATATATAGAATTTAGACATCTTTCTTGCGCAGTTTTGGCTTCTATTCACATTTGTTTTCTTCTTTTTTGGTTGTTATGATTATACTTTTAGATTTTTTTTCCCCTTACCAACATGCACATACTGTTAGATGCAGTTTGTAATTCCCGAGCTTTTGTATAATTTCAGTACGATTGGCTTTACGTGGCCGAAGGTTTGGAAGGTCTAATTAGTTATGGATCAAGTTGATTGATTAAATACTGATGAATCATTACGGGTAGTCTTCTTTGGTAGCATTTGCGTGTTATTTTTGCAGTAATGGAACACATTGTAATTTAGGGCCTCCCTCGGTCTGGGACTTTAATTTGTGCTGGTCGAGCTCTTAAAATAAAATTAATAAATGCCGTGGGACTTTTTAAAAATTCGCTGCTGATCCGTTTTAAAGCATTTGTTTAACTTTTAAAAAATAATCAGAATAAAAAAAATAGCTTTCCGATTATGTTGGACTTTTAAATAAAAGAGTAAAAATTATTTTTAATGCTTGTTACTAAATACAAAATAACTTTTAACTTTTTTAAAAAGTAATGTCAGTAAATATAATAAAACATTTATTCAAATAATTTGACAACTCTTTCCTTCTTAAGAGTAAATAAAAAGGCCCTGGATACTTGATGAACCATACCATGTCTTGCTCGCAACGGTTAGTAAGTTGGTGAACCCGGCTCTATCACTGGAAGAGTTTGAGATGTTGAATAAGGTGGACTGACATTCGATTAATAAATGATAAAATAATATACTTTTATATATATAATGTAATTTTGTGAAATAAAAGTTTATATTCTACATCAAACTGATATTCGATTTAATATAAACTAGATTGCGGATTGAGCATTATTTTTTGAGGTACCTTGCACGCTTCATTGTACATATTCTGCATTGAATTTATATTTTATTGTAAATTAATATTTTCTGATATTATATCCAGAGTGAACAAGGGAAAAGGAGACCAGTGATAATAACTGAAACGAATCGTTTTGCATCCAATTCCTGAATTCCCTGTTGAAGTTTCGATTTGACTCGAACAGCACCGACTCACTGAGAATCCGAGAAAACTCAAGTACGGCGAAGGCAATCGGAAGGAGGTGGAAGGGAGGAGAATGCCACTGGGGAAATATTACTGCGACTATTGCGACAAGCACATACAGGACACGCCGACAGCTCGTAAACGACATCTTCAAGGGATCCAGCACCTCCGGGCTAAAGCACTCTGGTACGATTCCCTCAAATTTCAAGGTCCGTTTTCTCTTTCCTTACCCTTCTCCCCCTTGCAACGCCCATCCTTTATTGCTGACTAATCGATGAACAGATCCTAATCAGGTTTATCCCGATGGATTTGTCAAAGGGGTTTGCAATCGCTTTGTCAAAACGGTATCTATCTAATTTCCTCTGGAAAAATGAACTTGATTGGGGTGGTTGATTGCTTGGTGAAATCTGACGTCTTGATTTTATTTTTTTTTATTCTTCCTTTGCGCGGCCCTTAGGGTTTTTGCCAGTACGGTGATTCTTGCAGGTATGCTCATCCAAGAAACTTGACCAATGCCAACCTTCAAGGGGGAATAATTGGTAAATCTCATCCCTGCCTTTCTGCCTAGTTCTGATTTCCCTTTCTAATTGGATTCATACCAAAGATGTGGTAGTAGGGACCGTTAGAAAATAAGGTTAAAGGTTACCGTTATTCTGATATTATATGATGGATCAAGTTCAGTTCTCTGGGCACTATCTCTATGTTAAGCATTTTCCTCCTGGGGAATAGGGAGCTTTGGGGAAGAAGATAGGATTAGAAGAAAGAAATAATGTCTGAAAGAAACGTTTTGACGACATCTTCTTAGTCTTTGTTCGAGGCTAACTGTAACACCTTGTGCATCATTTTGTCATGATTTTCAGATAATATGCAGCCAGCAGCATTAGCAACGGCGGTTAATATGGGTGGTGGAGGCTCTACACCAGGTAAACTAATTGGGGTTGAATTTATGTAGCATATCAGCCAGAGATATGGTCCAATTCTAGCTTAGTGGCTCAGTACTGAGTTTAATGATTGACTTCCGTTTCAGTTGCTATACTGTAAAATAGTAGTGTTTCTCTATAAGAATGCATCAACTAAAACAAGACAAACGAGAAAGTTTTAGATATACGTATTATTGTGTTGTTATCCTCAATTTATAACTTCTCTTGTGATTGTGGTATGCAGGAAATGTGGTGCAAGACAGTATGCGAATGGCATGGGGCAATTTACCGCCATCTTTGAAGCCTCCTCCTGAGGGTGGATATCCAGCTCTTCCCTTCGTGGATTGGGGATAGATAGATAGATATTAGATATATACATGTGTACATAGGCTGCCTCCTTTATTCAAGCACATGGGGGAAAGGTATTGTGCCTCTATTATAGCAGAATATGTAATTCTAGCATTTCTCTTCTTCCGAACAAAGTAGGTGTCTGTTTCTCAAGGGGAGCTAAAAAAATGAAAATGTAAAGACAATAATTTAGGATTAAGTTGAAATCAGCTAAACCAAAACCTACCTTAATTGGCATGGTTGTTATTTTGATCTAACGCAGCACAGGTCAGAAAGATTCTTCGTCCGGGAATTTTAATAATCCATTTTTAATCGTGGGATCAATCAATACAAGAGATGTAGAAAACAGAGAGTAGTGTGATTCAGAAGACATGAACAATGGAGTTCGAATACGGTCCGTATATTTGTCCCCATTAGTTTAATTAACTAGATGTGTTCAGTGCAAATTATGAAGTCGAAGCTATTATTATATCTTCTGCACGATCAAATTGCTTATCTTCAAATGAAGTTTCTGGGCCTGTGAAGCCGCCGCCACTTATAGCAGTAATTCCCACCCCCAAAAATGTGAACATTATCCACCTATTTGTGAACATTCCACTACACTGCCGGCCTTCATCGTTAAGTGGCAGAGATTGCTAATAAAAAATACGTTAGTGATGCCGAAAGCCCAGTAAATCCCCAGTTTAGATAGTGTAGATAAGATAAATTAAATACATTATAGAGTGGCCACACGGTGGTGTTCGCAGATGCAGCCGAAAAGGACGAGCTCTTTTGAAACTGTCCATTGGACCCGAGATTCAGTTTCTTCTTCGTTAATAATTAGTTTGTGGGGACCTCAACGCGTAACGTCAACAAATCACTTAATTGGGTTCCAACAACAAAAGATATATGGCTATCGCTTTTTTTTAAAAAAAAAATTCTTTAACTACGGAAACTTAGTTCTGACCCAAAAAAAAAAACTACGGAAACTTAGATTTTGGGGAAAATAAAAAGTAAAAAATAAACGGATAACACAGTCATTCTGAGGCGTCAGATGCCATATTGGTAGCTAAGAAGAAATTTAACGACCATCTTATGTATTAAACAGAGATAGCAGTGAGCCAATTTAGGTCGAAGTACTGCAATAAATGCATTATCCATAAAGTCAGAACATGTAATCAAAGCTCAAAAGTTAAAAACAAGTATCTATAAGTCTCGTGCCGTATTACAGGCATGACCTTCCTAAGTTTGGCCAGAAACATTAAAGCAGTGCGCTCTTTTCCACTGCCTCTGGGACGAAACTCGGCTCCGCCATGTAGATGTAGTAGTAACATGAGAACTCACTTTCATGGAAATAGTGCCAAATTAGGTCTCAAGTAACATAGGTCGTCCACAATATTCTTTAATGGCACGTTTAGCCTTCTTCTGAAACGTGCAACAGGCTCTCCTTTTTGGCGTCCACTAAATGCAAATGGGGACTTGAAAAATCAATGTGTAATCATCCCGGAACTAAATACTTGCCCCGGATTACTCCAAATGGCTCGAACTAAATGCGTTGGCATAAAAAAGTTGTAGTGACAATATCACAAGACAAATACTAACAGTGATTATCACCCATGCCTATACCTCAGGGAATCATTCTAAACATAAATGGATCGCTTGTGGACTCAGCAAACTGCATCAAAGTGCCACTCTCACTTCCTTGAATGGAATTGGTCGGTTTTGCGCCATTATTGTAATGTCAGGCGCAGACCTATCCTCATAAAGTAACTTCCACTATGCTTTGTGAAGCCTAGTATAAAATGTCTGTGTCTTCAATAACATTCTGCAGTATCCTCTGCTTCATGGTTCTGGTATGATCTCTTTGCATATATAGTGCTCAAAGTGGTCACGTAATTTGCAGCTTAGCTCTGTTCTCTATTTCCAGAAACGTGGGTCCCTTGCTTCCTTATGCCCCTCTATGCCTAACCCACGATAGTGACCTAGCCTCAAAACATCTCGGTTCAATTCCTTGAATGTCCAAACAAAGCGTCTGCTCATTTTGCATGCCTGGCGACTATAGGACTTGCTCTGTGCTATACATAGCCGGCCCCTTTACCACACACCTCAGCTAGAACACCCTTAACCAAACATGAAATTCTTCCATATTCTCACTGGGTTTTTCTTCATTTTCACATGTTTGTGCTTTCTTCCAATTCACGGTAGACTTTACAGTAACAGTATATCGTTATCACCTTCTGCCGCACCTGATGCTCTTAGCCCAAGTTACGATGGCAATGGACCTCCTGTTTATAACATAAGATCCTTTGGTGCTGTTGGAGATGGCGTCTCTGATGATACCCAAGCATTCAAATTGGCCTGGGACACAGCATGTCAGGCTGAAGAAACAGGAACCCTCCTCGTTCCAGATGGTTATATCTTCATGATACAGTCAACTATATTCACAGGGCCTTGTAAAACTACCATCACATTTCAGGTAATGTCCGTTTGGGAAGCAGAAAAATTGTATATGTTGATCTTTGGTTAAAATCTGATGTTTCTATATCTGGTGTTGAATGTGAGAAGATTGAGGGAACTGTTGTGGCACCGGATGGGCCTGATTCATGGCCTAGTTATAGCAGCAAGAGACAATGGCTAGTTTTCTACAGAATCAATGGACTCTCAATGCAGGGTACTGGAGTTATTGATGGCAGAGGAGAGAAATGGTGGGATCTCCCTTGTAAACCCCACCATCACAAAGTATATTCTTTTCTCTAATTTTATTGATAGCTCCCCTTCTGGTTTATTACAGTTACTAAGTTTGCATTTTGCCGTTTCAGGGAAACAAAGATCACGGTCCATGTGATAGCCCGGTTGTAAGTTGCAGAAATAGGAGAAATTTCTATTAAAAATGTTCTGCTTGGAAAATTCAGAGAGAATTTATCTTACAAAGTTGTTCATCAATGTTTCTGTTGCAGGCCATCAGATTCTTCATGAGTTCCAATGTAACAGTGCAGGGAGTTAAAGTCATGAACAGCCCTCAATTTCATTTTCGATTTGACGGCTGCCAAGACGTCCATGTAGAAAAGCTTGTCATAAAATCCCCTGCTTTAAGTCCCAACACTGATGGAATTCACATTGAGAAGACAAATAATGTCCAAATTTATAATTCGCTCATCTCCAATGGTGATTCCATAGATTCTGATTAACTCATTCGGACGTCATTACTAAGCAATGAAGCTTTTTTTACTCTGTGTTTGTGATCCTTTTCTGGATGCAGGTGATGACTGTGTGTCAATCGGAGCTGGCTGTTACAATGTGGACATAAAGAATATAACGTGCGGTCCAAGTCATGGGATAAGGTACGTCAACCTTGTGTGAGACAAAATTTTAACGTTAACAGTAGCGCTAAATAGTAAATGCTAATATGAAAATGGAGGTTGTGACTTCCTACGTAATTTTTCGAGACTGGTGTGTAAATGGGATTCTCCCTCTCTATTGCGCAGCATCGGCAGCCTTGGAAATCACAATTCCAGAGCTTGTGCGTCCAACATAAGAGTGACCGAATCAGTGATAAAGCACTCAGATAATGGGGTTCGGATAAAGACATGGCAGGGGGGAGTAGGAGCGGTGTCCAACGTAACATTCAGTAACATCTTCATGGACATTGTTCGAAATCCAATCATCATTGACCAATACTACTGTCTCTCCAAGAACTGCCTCAACCAGACATCATCTGTTTTTGTTTCCAACGTTTCATATTCCAACATCAAAGGTACTTATGATGTGAGGAGCCCACCAATGCGTTTCGCCTGCAGTGACTCTGTTCCGTGCACGAACCTCACCCTATCAGAAGTGGAGCTTATTCCCGCACAAGGCCAACTTCTGGCCAACCCATTCTGCTGGAATGCCTATGGAACTATGCAGACACTTACTATCCCACCAGTTTTGTGTCTTTTAGAGGGAAATCCACAGACTTTGCCTCAAGTTGATACTGTAGGGTGTTAGACGGCAATGGTTTAAGTAAATATTGCTATAACCCTGTACTAAAAAAAAAAGAAAACAAAAAAAAAAGAACCCTAGGACTAGGAGGGGGCAAAAAAAGAAAAAGCGTATCTGCAACAATAGCATAAACAGGTGTGTATGAAATGAAATCTACAGAAGAGAATTTAAGTAGCAAAAAGAAAAAGGCCTCCTTGTATAACTTACCGTATCATACTTTTACTCGATGAAAACTAACTCCATACAGTAACGTTTATGTTCTCTATTTTACAAATCTACAAAAGTGTTACTGGCCATCAAGTGAAAACGTTGACAACCTTGAACACTGTGTTCTCGACCTACTTTAGAGAAAAATTTCAAGAATTATTTCCCTGCCAAACCCGACCAAACATTTTCACAAGCGTAGTGAAAAATGAAAATAAGAAAAAAGGGAACCAATCACATTTTTCTTTTTATTTGTGTATTTAGAGGAGGAGGAGAACTTGGTCATGGCGCAGAAGCGCATGACAAAACTGAATTATGAACCTGCGAAGAACTTCCGAACAGGAAGAAAAGCGGCAGCTAGTAAAATGACTGATAAAACTTAACTACGAATGGTTCCTATGAAGCATGTTTCATTCTAAAACACGAGCAGTTTAATTTTACAGAAAATGAACATTTAACCACACAAAGTAACACGTGGAAGATGTCAAAGCAAATGCCTGAGTGCTACATATGCACATTTCATTAACTTTTCCATTTAAATACAATAATTCAATTTTTTACATTATTTTGGAATTTCAGTCAAGTAACACTCCTGAACATTCATGAGCCTTCCAGCTGCAGAATAATGAAGGGTAAGGTCCGAGAATATGAGACTAACTTGTAGAAGCAAGTACTTCTAACAAGGAAGCAATAAATTGCATTTGAGTCTCCTCATCTATCGTCAAGAACAGAGGCACGTGGACAAACAGGGATTTTATCCCATTTTGCTCTGCAAAACGAAGGGAGTGATAGTACACGTAATTGCACACAAACCTGCCTGCATCATCTGATGTCATCACATCATAACCCTTCTTTTCCAATTCCTTTGTAATCTCGCCCGCGGGAAGGGAGGTCTGCACAAATATATGAACATAATCAACCATATGACCACTGAAACAAGTAGGTTTTCTTAATTCATGTAGAAAGCAGAACCAGCTGAAACAACGTCCTCCTGTCATTTCCTTCATATTGGCTATGCATACAAGTAGCTTTACCAGTCAGGTGGTACTGCTCAATAAAGACAAGTAAAATCTATACTTATTGTGACAGTTTCAAACCTTCTGGATGCTTAGGACCCAAAAAACAATAGAAAAGGAAAGAAAAATGACCATGGATTGAAGTTACCGACTGAGGGTCATCAAAAAAATCAAATGAACAACTCAGACTATTTGCAATGCTAAGAAATCAACGATGTTCTATATGAATCAATTAACATTATGCTACAATAGGCCTAAGCATCAGGCTTGAAGCTTAAAAGTACAAAATGTACCTCTCGTGTTCGCATGATTCCGCCATCTGAAGGAACAATTGGGACTTTCTGCAACATATGACGATTCAGTGAATGTGTGGATATTAGCTCTAAAGACTTGATGGGCTAAATTAAAAATGTTTGCACAATTACGTTCTAACCTGAGGCTTCCACCCCATTTCATCAGGGCAACGGAAAGTAGCCTCATTGACAGCTTGATGCTCTATGGCAAACCTTGTTGCTCCACTGTTGACCCCAAAATGCAGCTATGGATGTAATTAACAATCCAAAAGTAAGTTGAAGGAATAAAAAAAAATTGTTGAAATTAGTACCGATTCAATCAACTAAGTGCACGGTTCCATTTTTAGCTCAGATTATATACCTAACAAGATATAAAATAAAGTACTAGACAATGAAGCTTTAAACAATAAGAAGCTAGACAATGAAGAAATCACTTCATAAGCCATCTTAAGCTTTTTTACGATTCCCTTCTTGGACCCTTATTCTAGGCCGTAATGTTGAGATCCTCAAGTTCTCACAACTACCCTCTCCAGTCCAGAATTAGAATAAGCGGGTTCTAAATTATATCATCCTTTATAGTTTTGTGCTGAGCTTTTTATTTTTAATAAGGGAAAAAAAAAGGGTTTAAAAGTTCAATAGTAATCTTTGATTACAGTTGATTCATCAGCAATATAATCTTCTTTTAGATATCAAGACACACAATAATGAAGAAATCAGGCTCTCAAGATTCAGACTTTTGCAATCATATGGGCAACTCACCCATATAATTTTGTTGGAATTGGAAGATTCAGAATCCTTGGGCTTGGGGCTAATAGCAGATTGCAAAGTCTGGTACAAGGTAACAAGTGCTCCTTGACCAGCAGTCTCCAGAATGCTACAGCTCCCAATAACTAAACCTTTAGGCAATCCCTTCTTCTTCATATACTCCGTCAAGTTATTGACAATTGTCTCTGTCGGGTTCTCGGAAACTCCATGGAATTTCTTGAAGCCCGTAACATGAACAGTCACAGTTGCTGGTGGACATTCAGAGCCCATCCGTCTTTGATTAGGCCAAAAATATTTTATGCTTCAGATAAAGTAGAGTTTCCAGATGCCTGCGTACAATGATGAGTTGGTTTTAGTTAAGGAGGCATAAATTGAACTGTTCGTCTAAATTGGGAATCATATCCCAAAAAAAAAAAAATCCTCGATTCATCATCACCAAATAATCTAATAGGGAAATGCCCGATGCTAAAGAAGACTCTGCTTGTTATGTACATTTGACCTCATCACGTCACAACAATGTCAATAACTGATGAAATGTAAATTTTTCTAAGGCCAACAAAAACCGATGAAATTGAATTAAAATTGTGAGTATAACTATCACTGTAGCATGCAAATCTTTTTTTTCCCCCCTCTCCATAATAAGAATCCGCGGAAAACTAGAAGGCCTCTACGAAGAAATCAAATTGGAGCCCCTAGCGAGAATGTATTTTACGGGGGATAATGAAAGAGAAAGGAGAGGGACGGAAAGAAAAGACTGCCCACGTTTGATGTGTAATGGAAGATGAGACAAACTAATAAATTGAACACACACACACACACGTATATAATTGGTCAATATATATATATATATATAATTTGTTGGCAAAAATATATATCATTTCCGCAAAATGTCCCTAATATTTTTTTCCTTTTTTCTTTTTTAAAAATCCCCGTCTATCATCTATTATCGGCGTCAAAGCAGCAGAAAGACATGACATCAGACGAAAAAACCAGATCAACAAACTAAGCTGGAACATATCAACATATTAACCAGATATAATCAGATAGATCCATAAACCAGCATAAACTCAATTCGAGATATGATCAGGTCAATAAAAATACGGATCCGCATGAGATCAGAGAAGATAGAGGAGGGGCGGCCGGAAGCAAGATTCCCCCTTTCGTGTAAAATTTTCCGTGTACCAAACAGCTTAGAGAACGTTGAAAAGGGAAACACGGCAACTTTCTCGTTCTAAGCCCGGCTATCCCAACGTGTCAACTTCCAGAGGAAAAAAGGCGTCTTGACAGAATCTCGCAAATCTCAAAGAGATGAGTTTGATTTCAAGAATTATATCATAAATCAGAAAGGATCGGATTTAAAAAGCGTAGACACAAATGTATAGAGTCAGATAACACCGTTGATACAGAATTCCCACCAAAACCTCTTCAAACCCAAACATGTTGCAAGACGCCAGTCAAGTTAAGCTATGATCAGAAACCCGAGTGATTAAAATCGGGTATGACGAGGACCTGGAAATTTTACTCCAGATAGAAATCACCAAAATTGAATTAAGCATGTGTCCTGAAAATTAAGAAACAAACTTGGGGCCTTTTCCCTTACCCGTAATCTTCCAACAGGTGAAAAAGAGGACAGACCCACCAGTCTTACTCCGCCCAGAGTAGATTAACTCGTTAAGATTCCGATCAGATTTAGAAGAAAAGAGAAACCACAAAGCAGACAGAGGGAAGACAGAGAATTCCAATACAACAGAAAACTTGGTAATGGATTGGAAGCTCCAGGTCAGGGTCACTTTCAAACAACGAAGGAAAACGTTCAAAATGAATTGGATTGTCCCATCAATTATTGTTTTATCTTGTTAATTTTTTCTCTCAAAAGATTGCCATTGTTGAAAATGAGCATTTAATAAGAACGGACTTCGGGTACCTGACAATTCCACTGGACAGTAATTAGACTTCTTTTTCCCCCTTCTTTCAGGGCCTTAATTAAGTGCTTTCTCCATGGCTCTTCACCGAACCTTCAAGAACAGAAGAGCATTAAAAGATTCCTTTTGTCGATCTGTTGTGCAGGAAAAGAGATAGGCATCATCTCTCACTGAATGACTGAAGCATAAGAATAATTTTAAATTAAAAATAATAAAATATTGTTTGATCAGACTTTAATAAAATTGGAAATTCTTATTTTAATGAGAAAATAAAATTAAACAAATTAAAAATTATAATATTTCAATTCAGATTCAAAATCCCAAAAAAAGGAATGTGCTTGATTTGGTGTTTTGTAAATATAATCAAATAACCAAAATGTCATGGTATCATATTTTAAAAAAGCTATTAAAATTTTCATTACTAGTACACTTTTGTTTAATATTTATTATTATCAATTCACAATTTATTAATAAATTTTTTGATACAAGAACATTTTATTATTTAACTATATTTACAAAATAATCAATCAAACATCACTTCCTCTTATGAGATTTTGAAGTCTTAAATGTCTAAATTAAAATATTATAATTTTTAACTTCTTTTTATATTATTTTTTCTACTTTAATTTCTGAAATTCCATAGAAGTTTAATGGAAATAGCAAGACTTAAACTGTATTATTTTTAATTAAAATTATGAAATAGTTACTGTACATTTTTAGTGGTAACATTTCAATAATGATATGAAATTTTTTCTTATTGTAGAGGATTGTTTTCGTGACGTGAAATATTTAGTGAATGTACCAATGCTTTTCTTATAGCAAGTTTGGTTCAATTGGATGAAAAGATATTGCATGTAATAATGATGTAAATGCTTAATTCAAATATTTGGTTGAGTCTATATAATATAAAAATGATTACATCTTTTAGTGCTGATTATCTTATGTAATGTAAAAAGGATTACACTCCTAAGACACATTAGTAAAGATACAGAGCTCGAGTGAAAAAGACATTATTGCCATTATAACTTTTGTAACTTGAGTAAAATACCCTATTGGTTGCGTGTCCATTCTCTTTGCTACTGCTATCGTCTTTGCCACTTTCATGTCCTTGGTAAACGTAAGTCGCCCCAGATCGGGAAAGAAGTGTAAGGGAAGAGAAAGATAGTGGTGGCCACCTGCTTATAGTAGGGGTGTGTATAGACTAGGCTGGACCGGGTTTGTTATCAACCCGAAATCTGGTCCAATAAAGACCTCGGGTTGAAAAAAGACAGCCTGAAGTTTGGTCCAGTCCAGTACCAACCCGAGGTCGGGTTGGACTGGACTTGGTCCTCTGGACTGCCTGGACTAGTCCAAGCAGTCTAGGACCTAAATTTAATTTTTTTAAAATTTTTTCCTTCAATAGGAAACAAGATTGTAACTTACTATATAAAATTTTGTACATATTTTAATTCAAAGTTCATCAAATTTAATCATTCTCTTTCAATTTCCCAATAATGTCATGTTTTATTAATTAATCCTCATTAATATAGACCTTATATTGTAGAAAATATATACGCGTGCTCATTACTTAGGAAGTTAATAAATAAATCTTGATTATTTGAATAGACAAAAAATTTATATAGAAAAATTAAACCAAATTAAGATTATATAAATAACAATTAAAAAAAACCGGGCTAGACTGGACTGGATTAACTAGTCTGAGTGGTCAGTCCTTAGTCCAGTCCAACCCGATGAGACTAGTCCGGCCCAGTCTGGTCCAGTCTTGTTTCGAGCTAATTTTTTCTGGACCGAACTGGACCGGGTTTGTTCAAGTTAGACCGGACCATACCGAACCACCAAGTTTTTACACAGCCCTAGCTTATAGCCATCTCAAAGAGGTGCTGTGGTGCCTTTGCTCGTCATCAACCGAACCTAAGTGGGTCCATTTGAAATCAATCAATTTGCTGATTGAACAAAAATACCAAACACAGAAAACACGGGATGATGAACTTGATATTGATTGACGACTATAAGGAAAAGAGCATCCTAACACGCTTAATCACTGCTGCCATCTCCTTCTTCGAGAGCGAGACATGAATTATACTATTTTTTCTTTACTCTTTTACTGATTGTTATAGTATGTACAGACAAGTTTGTTTAATAAAATTTTTATTATACATATCACAAGAGTTAATTTTGTTTATTAGTTTATTATTATATATGTAGACAAGATTGTTATATATTTAATAAAAAAGTAAATTCCGTTATATATATATATGGGATGTTTGGATAAAACCAAACTATGATTTGGAGAATAACTTATGGAGAATAGATTCTTAGGAGAATAGATTTTATGAAAAAATGATTTTGATAAAGTGAGAATGTTTGGATAGTTGTAACCAGAAGTACTTTTTTACATGTACAAATTACTAAAAAAGTACAAGTTAATATGATAATTACATAAAAAAATAGATTTTATAATGTATTTTAATTTAAAGAAATAAAATTATTAATAATATATTTTTACCAGCATAATTAATAATAAATAATATAATACAATTAATAATTAATTAATATGTGTATATATATTTATAAAATATAAGATTAAATATGTTTATAAAAAAATTGAGGGGGTGTTAAAATAATATTATTGTTGAGATTTAATCTGACAGGCATAATCATACTCGCAAATTTGAGCCAAAAGTAGAATGTATTTACTTCTTTTGAAATTATAGTTTTGAGCCCAAAATCATGGTAGAACTGCGATTTATTAATTCCTCTCCCCTTTTGGCAAATTTGGGACCCAAACCATAGTTTGGGTCTTAAAACCATGGTTTTTTATGTTATCCAAACAGGCCTATAAATAGGGATAATTTTGTGCTCTTCCGGTTCTTAATATAGGATCCAATTCTTGAGTTGATTTTGGTCCTAAATATAAGACCCATTTCTCATATTTATCAGTTTTTTCTAAATTACCCCTATGAATACTCTCTCAACCATAATCAAGTAAAAGAGGGAGATGAGGTATTAAGAAAGATGATTATGGTATTTTAGAAAAAATGTGTCACTTTTCTTATAATTAACTAACTTACCTAACTTCCTTAATCTAATCAAATTAGTTAAATGGATCTTACATTAAGGACCGGAGGAGTATTTTGATATAGTCTTACTCCTCCGGTCCTAAATATAAGACCTTTATATTGTGTAAACATTATTCTCATAGTCTTATTTTGTATTTTGATATAGTCTTATTTTTGATATAGGACCGGAGGAGTATTAGTTATTCTCATATTTTTTGTAATCCAACCAAATATTTTTTATGTCTATGTATCATTTTTCAATAATGACGTACCAAATAAACTTATGTAAACATCATTATAGTACATTCTATTACATTTCATTCATTCCATTACATTCTTTAAGATTCATTGAACCAAACAGGCACTTAATTTCTTCTTACATTACCTCCAACCCTTAATATAAGAACTAGTTTGATATTCAATTTGATTTTAAATATAAGACTTTAATTTTTTTTTCATATTTGTGTATTCTTTCCAAAGTAGTCATTAATAGGTAATTTAAACACATATGATTAATACAAGTATTTAAAGAAAGATGACATCTATTTACTATAAATAACTAATTAAACAACTTTTTTAATCTTCTTAAATTAGTCAATCAAATATTATATTAAAGTTAGAGGAAATATATATTTTTTAGGAAGAATCAAGTTATTTGATTTCATGGCACCAAAATGTAAAGTGCAAGATGCACCCCCAACGAGGGGAGAGGATTGTTTAAAATGTGTAATTATATTATATATGAATATGTCCTGGCCTATAATTGAATAGACGAGAAAGGGTCAAGTCCATCCCTATCCGCACCTAACGGATTCCTTCACTCAATCAAACTGTATGATGCTGCATATTTTGTTCTCAAGCAACCAACCCTCCCCTCTTCGCATTTACCTCCCATCTACGTGTGTGTGAGACATTAATTGCGGATGCTTCTCAAGACAGGGATGTGAGGGACTGCCCCTTCTACTAATTTTCTAGGGCACTCTATATTGTTCATGGGCGTTCCTGTCATTTTGTTACTGTGGCTCTTACGTAGAATCACGCGGTATTTGACCTCTTTTGGTGGTCAATTTACACGCATTTGGTTCATTGAAATCAGAACCCCACTCAACAATCAGCGCCCCTACCATACCGGCTGATTCACCATATCGAAAGCAGTAAAGCAAGCAGGGCAAGTAGTAATATTCGGCTCCCTCTGACGAGTTCCCACGTTACTATAATAATTTGGTCCATTCCCTTTAATTTAGCTCTCTTCATTGATCACTTCACGGTCACACCCCTGTTCACACGCGCGAGTTGCTGTGAAATATTGTTCTCTTTACTCTTTCAGCTTCTTCTCTGGCGTACCACAGTATGGATGGAGGAAGAAGGAAGAGGAGACTGGACGGCGAAGAAGAAGATAGCGAGGAGCAGAAGATGGAGAAGTTCTTTGCCTTGATAAGAAGCACTAAAGAGGTGCGTGATCGCCTCTCTAAAGAGAGAGACAGTAATAAGAAGTTGGAGGAAGACAAGTTCAAGAATATTTGGAACCCAACTTTTCAACCTGAGGATTTCGTGCCCGATTATCAAGATTCAGGAACTAGAACCACCCACCCGGCTGGTCCTTCCAATGAGAAGGAGGTCGACATAGTACAAGACAAAGAATCCGAGCCAATCGCGGAAGCTGCGCCGCCGCCCCCGCCCCCGCCCCCGCCGCCTCCTGTACATGATGAAAAAGCTAACGAAGAAGATAAGCTGGACTTAGACCTCAATCTTTCTTTATAGCGCATTAAGCCGATTTTGTGTTGTGGTTTTGCGTCGGAAATGAGTAATCTAGCTTCAGAAATCGTTGTGACGGGCTTCTTATTTTATCCTTGTTTACTCCGACCATTAATACACCACATCTTGCTATACTTTAATCGAGTAATTTCTTTGTCTTTTCTCTACTCTCTCTCAACCCCTTTTCTAAATAATACTAGTCTCTCGTAACTTTGATAAACGGAAAGAATTGTAGGATTCTGGCCATATAGTATAGTTGCCTGAATCGCAGGAAAGCTACACATTATTGGTCATTTTTCACTCAGATGTACTGCTTAAGTTGTTAACTTGAGGGCATTGATTGGCCAATTAGCCAAGCTGAAATATCTTTCATTTAGTAGACTGTAAACTGAGAGCTATTAAAGCCATCTTATGCAATAAAATATGGCGGATAGAGTGCTCCCTGATAAAGGACAGGAAGATGGTAGGAATGGGAATAGCATATTAGCATGGGTGTTCAAGCAAGTCTCCTGCCTGAGTTTGGACGACAAATTTCGATCCGCGTAATAAATGCTGGGCATTGAAAAAATTGTCACTGTTTAATGAAGGAGGGGGGTACGGTAAGTTGTAGTAACACGGGGAGAAGATTGACAAGTAACGTCAATCCGTGATTAATTAAGAGTAATGTAGGGATGATGCAATAGCATGACATCAGGCGTTTGGGAAGAGCGGTGCAATAATGATCATGATTAGATTGGCATCATCCAAAACGCCATTTAGCGGTTTAAATTTGAAACCCTACAAGGGCATAGCCCACATTAGGCCCCATTGGACCCAAAGCCGCCCTTGGATTCTTCAACAAGCGTGACCGGATTGTGCACAACCTCTAGAAGTAGGTCCAGTCTCGCTACCTGCTGAATTATCAGGCTGAATCTGGACCCCATGGTAGGCATAAACTGCTGAGCAGGTTGGAGAGACATCGGATATGAAGGTTCATACGTCATCTTCTCTGGTAGGCTTGGCCTGCCTGGTCGTTTTCTAGCGACGGGCGCAAGGCACGCGGGTAAGAAAATATTCGGTGTGACCAGAAAGCACCTATGCAACCGGAAAGGAGGCCTTCAGCCGACATACCCTAAGGGATAATAGCGTAGGGCTTTAGGAACTTGTCAACCAAACTAGTCAGATTCACATGACGAGATTCTATTTTCTGAAAACCACTACCTCTTATGTTTAATATTATAAGAGTTTGTTGAATAATTCAAATAAATTAAAAAAATTAATTAGATTAGTTATTTGTAATAAATAAATATTATCTTTCTTAAATATTATTGTTAATTAAAAGTCTTTTGATGAAACATATCAAAAATATTTAATATATGTAACTATTACAAATACTACTTTAAAAAAAATAGATAAATATAAAAGACAAAATAAAATAAAATTTTATATTTAAGATCAAATTAAAAACAAACAAGATTTTATATTAATAACCGGACGTTATATATATTTATTATAATCCTAAGATTCAATTTGATAAAGTTCGAGCTTTTAAAGACACCTTCCATTCAATAGTCACTTTCCGAGAACAGACACTTGGAATTGAATTAACAGAGAGATAACAAATGAAGATGTCCCAAACTAATACATTTTAATTTAATACTTGCGTAAAATCAAGAAAGAAAAGTTATCAATTGGATGGTTGGACACTGATCTTGATCGTCTCCAAGTTCCTCTTGGAACCGTGGGGATATCAATTGACGCTTCAGACAGACGGAGGGATCGAATCAAAATGAAGGGAGTCTAGATGTATCAATTGCGGCAGAAGAAATCGAAAGGTGTGCGAGGTGTGGAATAAGCCATAGAAAGTATCTTAGAAGCCACCATTGAATTTGCAGCCTCAGTGAAATGAATTCCGTCCCAATTCACATACCGAGTTCCTTCCCCGCAAACCTGATAACCAGGTTGACCGCATGTCACTCTGTTATCGAAATTATATGGGGGACCTCCGAATCCACAGCACGCCATCAATGGATTTGAGAAACCTATTCACCATTGCGATCACAGTTCAGGCAAGGAGAATAATGTAATTTACAAGTGGAATGGAACATATGCTAATGCCTACCATATTTGGCGGCATTTGCAATGAGGTCATGCTTGATGCTATAAATATCCACATGAACTAAAGTAGCATCTTTCAGTTCAGTTCTTAGCTTCTGAAGCAGATGAAGCAGCGCTTCATTGAACAATCTTGCAGCACTATTGTAATGGGAAAGGCATCCAAGTGAATCCACAACCTTCGTTTGAGCCAATGAGATTAATTTAGGAAGACAGCCCAATGGTCCAGTGTTGTGAACCCAGAACTTCCTGGCACCTTCATTGTACAAACTCTGCATATATTACCCCATATTCAGTGTTATTCACCTTTAATGAAGATTTTTCTATCTTGATCATTTGACTCGATAATTTCAAGAATCATTGGACTGACCTTAATACCACTCTCAATTTCTGCAACAACCGCCGGGATTCTCTTAACGACTTGCGCATAAGAAAGGTTCTTGGAAAAGGAATCGCCAATGTCATTCTGTCCAATATCAATCATGTAGAGTGCATTTCGAAACCCGGCATCGTTGATATGATTTCTAGCACCTAAATTGTAAGGATGTGAATAGTTTACAAGCTCAGCATTCGCTACAATCTGAGAGCAATATTCAAGCGGATGTATCTGATCCAACAATCCACTCAATAGTAAACTACTGGAACATTAAAAAAAATGTTTGGAAGAACAGAAAAGTCGATATGAATGCATATTCTCGAGAAATCAGTCATAAAGAAAAGAAAGGAAGAAAAATTGACAAATTTTTAAAAGAGGGGTCTGCAATAGCGAGCGAAGTTTACCGGAAGCTACAAGTTCGAGGGTACGAGCCTTGAAATGGAGGAACTGCATGATCTGGATGTTCAAAGCGAATGGAACAAATTCTGGAAGGGTAGAGGACCCAACCACTGCAAAATTTGCTCCATTTGAGAACGTGGATCCTGACAAGGCGTCCAGGTATGGAGTCAAAAGACTTGCATTCAAACTCTGGCCTGCACATTTAAAAACAAATTAAAATATGAAAAATATTTCCGCACCAATCATTTTTTTTTTTCAGTTCAGCTTCTTCTAAAATTGAATTGTTCAATGCGTCAAATTTTTCCACCACCATACACTTCGTTTGCTGCCGTGTGATATCGTCACCATTTTTCCAATCACCCTCCCCCCAAATTATGAAACTTGTCACCGCATGATTTTCCCAGCAAAAGATGAGAAAGTCCAATGTGAAATACAGGATACTACCATCAGACATGGCACTAGAATTTATAGCAGCAGGTTACTACAAAATGATAATCAATCTGGGAATTTTCAAAACGAAAAAGCACCGTCTGGAGGAACACCTGATTTGCCTCACTAGGCACCTCGAATACTTCCTCTGTCACTTGGACTGCATTATCTTGTGTGTTTTAAAGAGGGGAAAAGACACTACTTCCTATCGTGCAGTCAGTTCAGTGATTATACAGATGGAGGCACAAGGTCTTAAATCTTTCAAGGATCTACTCTATATTTTGGATTTTGGGCCCAGGACAACCATGGTTTATTTACCAGAGTTTAAGACGGGAAGCCACTATTGCTGCGGGAACAATAGAGCTTTTTCTTTCTTCTTTTTCTTCTTAGATATATAATACTGATTCTGGTCTTTAATATAAGACCTTGTTTGACTTTTATTTTGGTCCTAAATATAAGATCCAAATTCACTTTGTCTCTAATATTTATGTTTTTTTTTCCAAGATAGTCCTCATAGCAATAGTAGTTATAGCCAATATATTTAATTAGTAAAGATATTTTAGGAAAGACAACACATATTTATTACAAATAACTAATTTAACCTCTTTCTTTAATCTCCTCAAATTAGTCAACAAGTTCTTATAATTAGAACAGAAAATAATATCATATATCTAATTATGCTAATGTAAAACCCGATTAATTCATTCGAAAAGGTTACGAAAACTAAACAAATTAATGATATCATATGTTAAGTAATCTCTCTAAAATATTAATACATATATTGTATATTAATTTAAATAAAAATGATAAATAAAAATGTTTTAAAATGATTTATTTAACATTTTTAATATTTTTAAATTAGTCAATTATTTTTTTTAGCTATATATAGGTATCCTTATATCAGAAACAATTCTATTCAAAATACTATCAGACACTAAATATAAACCTTTCCTGCAAAAATTGGAACCTTGAGTTCGAATACCCGCTAATTAACAAGTCTTATATTAAGGGTTTGTTTGGAACTTCGTTCAAAACAAATTTATAAATCAATCCAAACATGTCTTAATCTGCTAGGAAAGCTGGAGACGGTGGCCTAGTCCTAGTCATGACCTGCGAGTCATGAGTTCCTTGGATTTTGGATGGCCCCGCCGCTTACCCCCACCCCGGAAAAACGTCTCCTTGTGGGTCCCGCTCCTTGGATCATATGAAACAGCCCATGTTGGAGTCGATGGGATCGGTAATGGGCTTTGATACGATAGCCGAATGTGGACCCAACTCCTAGGACGTCCCAGGCCTATGCCAACTTTGAACGACATTACCACCAAGGGTTGGACCAGTCAGCAAGAGGCCGGTTCATAACTCATAAAATTGTGAGTTTGAATCTCACTACTGATGTAAAAACTTTGTTAGTAGACAATCTATAAATATCTTTGTAAACACTCTCTGAACCTAGAGACATATCCTGACCCAATAGCTTTTGGATTCAATTCACCTAAATTTTTTTTCTTTTAAAAAAAAAAAAAACTGTGAACGCCATTACTTACTGACGCTAGATTCACTCCCTCCCTCACTGATTCATTCCTTAATCAGACGGTCATTATCGGATCATTTTCGCCCTGCAATATTTTGTCGGCGAACAGAACACCACCGACGATATGTCATAATCGCCAGCTCCGCTCTTCGGAGGCGGGGGCTGAGATGTAACACCGTGTCCTTTCCTTTCTTATTTTTTGTTTTTAGAAAAAAAAAAAATACTAGTATTCTTAACTTTGTCATGGATATCCAACCTAATCGAATCAATCAGATGCGGTGATTGTAGCCGTGATAAACTATAGTAGCCACACATTGAGAGAGGGGGGAAGACTTACAGAGAAAATCGATGATGAGGCGTCCATCGGACAAGCGACCGGTGGATCTGTGGA